GCCGTAATTAAAGTTAAACAAAGCAGTTTGAAAACAAAGATTTTTGGGGAATGCTAAGATCTCATCATTTTCCATGTCCATTCGATTTGTCTGATACTGGTTCAATGCCCAAACTTCAAATTACCAGAGATCCGTTCGGAATTATGACGTAAATGATGGAGTCGAGGATTAAAGGTACAAAGTTGCATTGGTGGGTCCGTCGGTGAGTATGGTGTTGTTCGCCGGTGGATTGATCCCCGGAAACTGCATAATGGAGCGGCGTATCCAATCCGCCGGTATGGGTCTAAGAAGAGACTGCAAAGAGGGTAAAATATCAGAGACTGAAACTGTAGATTTTTGGGAACGTTATCTAAGAGTTAATCCCATCGAGTATCATTAACATTAATTTATTTTGTATGTCGAATAGCTATACTCAATGTGATTCAAAAGAATAATTTTTTTTTTATTTTTTATAAAAAATAAATTGAAAAAAAAATCAAATTAGTATATATAAATATACAAAATCTTATAAAAACTTAAATTTTATTATGTTTCATAAAATTTTAAACGTATATTACAATCCGTTCAAACAAATTGAAACATAAAATCGCATATAATAAAGCTAAAAAATATAGAATGATAAAAAACATATAAAAGCATGATGAAAAACACAATTAAATCGGCTCTAGTTTTTAGTGGTGCCAAATTTTTGCCAAATGTAGATTTTCCTGTAGAATACGTTTAGATGTCTCTGAGTAATATAATAACCTAGACCCGAACCTGTATCCGAATTTTTTTGGTATAATTAATTGTGACCCGACCCGAACCTGTATCCGATCTGAAATTTTATAAGTGTAACGCCCGTGAACCAAAAATGTGATTTTTGGTTGTGTGTCGATTGACACGTGTGTTTAATTCGCGAAGGAATATGTTTGCTGGAGCTAGGGGTGTCAAACGAGTTATTAGCTCATGAGCTATCTCAACTCAACTCAGTTTTTCACGAGCGCGAGCTATGTTTTTTAGGCTCATTTAGTAAACGAGTTAAGTGATCGAGCTTAAATGAGTTGGCGAGTTAGGCGAACCAACTCAGACGAGCCGCGAGCTAGCTCACGAGCAAATGTTTTTAATTAAGGATTTATCATTTTCTATTTATATATTGTAAATARATATTAGATTTACTTACCAAACCATATAGTTCCGTTCCTTTTTAAATTATAAGTTATAATTAAAACAAAAATAGAAATAATCCATTATARTTTATTAATAAAATAGAAATTAATTTTTGTGTAGTCTCTACTTTGCACTCGATCTTGGTTATTTGGTTTTACCACCGACAAGYATGGTAATATATTTTTATTCACTTGATAATTATCTAAGTTCATTTATTTGGGATTAGTCATTTTATATTTATTTTGTATTAGCTCGCGAGCTAGCTCATTTAGATCATGATCTAGATGATCTGAGTTCGAGCTTATATTTATAAACTCGTTTAATAAA